TAGTTGAATAAGTCTCTTTCCCATCGCATATAAAGTGTTATCGAGTGGGCTGTGTGAACGACTGAAGCCAATGGTCAATGACATAATTGGACCATACCAATGCGGCTTCAGACCTGGCAAGTCTACCATTGACCAGATTTTCACTCTACCCCAAATTCTGGAATAAAAACCATGAAAAACACATCGACACATTCCACCTATTCGTTGACTATAAAGCCGCATTCGACAGCCCTATTCGTTCAGAGGTGTTCCAAGTCATGTCTGCGTTTGACATTCCTGCAAAATTAATTCTGGTACAAGATCAACAGTTAATGTCCGAAAGGACCTCTCGGAGCCCTTTAATACCGAACGAGGATTCAGACAAGGTGATAGTTTGCCGTGTGACCTTTTTAACATCCTGCTGGAAAAGATCATACGAGAGGCAAAGGTGAACAGATATGGCACTCTGTACACCAAACAACATATGTTACTCGCCTACGCCGATGACATCGATATAATGGATCGAACATTGAGAGCGGTAACAGCCACCTTTGAACAAATTGAGAAGGAGTCTGCCAAAGTGGGTCTGGCAGTAAACGGCGAGAAGACCAAGCTGATGGTATCAACGCGCAAGACGTCCAGTAGGCTCGGACCAACTGTGGAACTTGAGAACTACAGCTTAGAGGTAGTCAAAGATTTTATATACCTTGGTACCGCCATAAACAAACCGAATGACATCAGTTTTGAAATTCGGAGAAGGATAGTGATGGCCAATCGATGCTACTATGATCTGAGCAAACAACTCAAAAGCAAGGCCACCTCCCGCCAGACCAAACTCACACTTTACAAGACGCTGATACTACCCGTGCTATTATATGGATCAGAAGCATGGGTACTTACGCAAGCAAATGAGGCAGCTCTTGGAGTCTTTGAGAGACTAATTCTCCGAAAGATCTATGGGCCCACCTACGTTTATGGTGAATATCGCCGTCGAATGAACAATGAGCTGTACCAGCTATTCTCGGACATCGACATTGTTAGACGTATTGAGCTGCATCGACTATGTTGGCTAGGTCATGTTGTGCGAATGAATGAAGATGCCCCAGCCCAGAAGGCATATAAAAGCGAACCAGCTGATAGTTTACGCAGAAGGGGAAGGCCACGAATCCGATGGAAAGATCAAGTGGAGGACAACATTACGGAATATGATCTTTCAAACTGGAAAAACTGTGCAAAACCGACGCGCCTTGAAATCTTTTTTAAGCTCGGCTTATGGAACGAAAGCTCTGTCACAAGCCAGCTAAGTAAAGTAATGGGATTTTTCTTAAACACTGTGACTTTGATCTTTCCGTCTATCAGTCGATTTGTGGAACCGCATTAATAAGTCTCATTTATGGCATTTTTGTAATGATTGATCCACATAAGTTGCCGTTTGTGCTTTTTACGATTATTACTATTATTATGATATTTTTTTTTGCCACCACATATTATATTTTTGATGAGCCCTCTCACTCTCTCTCTCTCTGGGTCTATCAGTCACTCAGTCAGACTAAGTTTTAGTGGATGGTTTCGATTACAGCATAGTTTTGCTTGCAGCCAATCAGTCAAGCGTACCCGACGATATATAAGCCGCCACATAATAGTTGCACGGCTAATGAGGATGACTGCTGTAACCACTTGCACGTTTATTACCAAGTTTTTTTTCAGTTTTGTTTTCATTGTAAGACAAGGTGTTAGCTGGTATTTCAGTTACCATGATGACGAAATTGTATATAAATTACATACATAGATATCTGTGCGTTACTAAGTACCTGATATAGCCGACTTTGGTGTGGGTTTTTTGTTAACAATTTACCACCTATTTGGATTATTTTTCCATTTTGCTAAGAAACGAAAAAAAACGAACGAACGAATTAAGGAGATAGAAAAACAAAGCCCAGGCAGCAGACCCATAAAATGTAATGTTGGTCTACATATTTTCTTTTTCATTGTTTTTCCCGAAATCGGAGCAAGCCAACGCGAGTGTAATCAGTGCAGTGCAACTATTTTGTGATTTTTTTATGCTGTTCCAAATAGGTAGCTTAACCTGAGGCATAATTTGGTGTGGTTGGTTTCTATGTGGTATGTTCATGCTCATCTCTATGCTCATTGGTGGGGGCACAACCCCCTCTTAACCAAACAAAACGGCATATAGGCTACAACACCAAGCATGCATTATACACTGATAAAAATAAAACCAAGGCGTGGATTATTAAAAAAAGCAGGCTTCCATAAGGAGTAGATTGTGGATTTTTTAAAGAATATTTTTTTCGAGCTACCAACAAGGCGTGGATTTTTTAAAGAATATTTTTTTCGAGCTACCAACAAGGCGTGGATTTTTTAAAGAATATTTTTTTCGAGCAACCAACAAGGCGTGGATTTTATAAAGAATATTTTTAATTTGCACGAAATTTGACACAGCCTACTGAATTAGGTCTGGAATGATGTATGTTGTTTCCTGAAAATCGGTCCAGATTTATATAAGCCCCCATATATATTTTCGTCCGATTTAATGTAAATGGTGTACCAAAGTCCCTATTTATCTTTCGATTTGCACGAAATTTGGTACAGCGTACTGAATTTTGTCTAGAATAAGGTGTGCTAAGTTTCCTGAAAATCGGTCCAGATTTAGATATAGCTCCCGTATATATTTTCGTCCGATTTAATGTAAATGGTGCACCAAAGTCACTATTTTGCACAAAATTTGCACAGCGTACTGAATTAGGTCTAGAATGATGTGCGTTAAGTTTCCTGAAAATCGGTCAAGATTTAGGTATAGCTCCCATATATACATATTCGTCCGATTTAATGTAAATGGTGTACCAAAGACCCTATTTATCTTTCGATTTGCACAAAATTTGGCACAGCGTACTGAATTAGGTCTAGAATGATGTGTGTTAAGTTTCCTGAAAATCGGCCCAGATTTAGATATAGTTCCCATATATACATTTTCGTCAGATTTAATGTAAATGGTGTACCAAAGACCGTATTTATCTTTCGATTTGCACGAAATTTGGCATAGCGTAATGAATTAGGTCTAAAAAGATGTGTGTTAAGTTTCCTGAAAATCTGTTGAGATTTAGATATAGCTTCCATATATATTTTCGTCCGATTTAAGGTAAATGGTGTACCAAAGACCCTATTTATCTTTCGATCTGGCAAGTCTCATTTAAATCGGTTCAGATTTTGATATAGCTTCTACATATATATTTTCGTCCGATTTTACTCCAAAATTGGCACAAATTTTGCACAACGTACTGAAGTTAGTATAACATAGAGGTTGGATATAAATGCTTCAATAAGGTGGGTCCAATCGGCACAAAATTTTGCACTACGTACTGAAGTTACTCTAACATATGAAGGAACCCTATATCTGACCAAATGAAAAATTTAGTATAGGTGGCAGGATGACATGTTTATTGATCCATTTTCATGTTAATGATCCTTCAAAAATTCGACGTCTGTTAGGATTCATCTGTTGAATATACCCAAAGTGGTGGTGAAGGGTATCATATAGTCGGCCCCGCCCGACTTTACTGCTTTCATTACTTGTTAAAGAATATTTTTTCAACTAACCAAAAAGGCGTGGATTTTTAAAGAAAAACATTTTTTATGTAACCAAAAAGGCGTGGATTTGAAAAAAAGCCTCTTATTTTTCTGATTGTACCATCAGAATAGTCATTGTTCTCTCTGCCCTCAACACAATTCGTGCATTGTTTTATTCTTCAAATTTTTTGTTTTTGGGGTTGAAATCACTGACATTTTATTTTCTTTTTTTTTTCATTAAACTGAGGTTTTCCTCACACACACGCAATTATTTTCCTCGCCTAAATGTATGTGTTTTATTGAGCGTAGAACATTAAAACGAAACAAAAAAGAAAATCAATATTGTAGTATACATTTAGGTTGATATACTTGAACAAGAATTTGTATATGTTTTTAAAAGTTTTGTGGCTTGATATGTTGGAATACATATTTATCGTTGTCCCCTCCCTTCCCCCACAGCACATCACATCATTCGTGTACCTTACCCCAAGCCATATGCTTTGTTTGTATTTTGCGTTTAAAGACGGGGGTCCTCCTAAAAGTATGCACTTATATTGTGGCTAAAGTGTTAAGCTTACAGCTGATGATGACGATGATGATGAAGTGCAGACACATTTATTTCTTCTTTGCATCAAATGCGAGTGATTTTTTTCAATATTTTAAATGTGAGATACTTGAGAATGTTTTAAAAAAAAATGTATGGGAGGTATTTATTGGGGAGATTAGATTATCATATGTGTGATATATGATTAAATTAGTTAGCGATAAATTTTAATTTGTGTAACCATTTTTTTCAAAAGATTTGGGTAGTGGTCTTGAACTTGCCTTTAATTATGTCGATTTAAAAATATATATAAATATTTTATATTGAAGCGGATCAACTCTATTTTTATATAAATTTTATTTACTATAGTATAAACACATACGTTTTATTAATCATTTAAATACTAAAATGCAACTCTGCTTTAAACATTTTAATTTAACGGTTAACTATGTAAATATTTTGTAAATAGTACCGAAAACTACTTCTCTGAATCTACTACATTATTGTATATAGGATCTTGCTTCTCAATCAAATTTCAATAAAATCACTTCACTCCGAGTCCGGACCCCCCGAATCTAATTCGTTTAAGCGAACATTGAAGGCTTAAGATCATTACCCACGCTTGCCCAAGTTGATGGACTGAGATCATAAGCTGGAAGTAGTTCCTAAACAAGGAGTAGCCAACATTATTGTAAATCTTGTTGTTTCGAGTTTCTTCACTGGCGCCCAACGTGGGGCAAGCCTCATTGAAAACCAAGGAGCTTTCTTCAATATTTATAATTATCCCCTTGAACATTTTACAGTTTTATAATTTCATTTATTTTTATGCACCAATATTTTTTTTGTTTTAATTTTTTTTTTTTAATTTATTTTTTCTTTATTTTATTTTTAGCACAAGAGTTCTTATATAATGAAAGATAAAAATTCATTGAGAATTCCCTCACGGTCACCAACACCAGTTAAGGTAAACCAATTTAATTTATATTTTCTAGAAATATAAATTGGCCATTCCGCAAAAAAAAAAATTCACCTTCATCAAAACAGTTCTCCTAACCCTCATTCACACCCATTTTTGGCTTTCTACAAAAATTTTTAATAAATTAGTGTAGACTTAGATATACATATATGTAGATATAGAGAAAATATCGATATTTTAAACAAAAATATCTTTTTTCAATCATTAAAAAATATATATTTTTTTAAATATATTAAAAAAAATATTTTTGAAGCCACGATTTTTTTAAAAATAGTATTTAAAGCATATTCGTAGGCGTGGATTTTTTAAAACATACTTACATACTTAGCTGACTTCTTACAGAACGGTTGTTCCATAAGCCGAGCTTAAAAAAGATTTCCAAGTTCGTCGGTCTTGTGCGCATCTTTTCCAATTTGAAAGACCATGTTCCAAGATGTTATTTTCTACTTGGTCTTTCCATCTGGCCTTCCCCTTCTTCGGGTACCATCAGCTGGTTCGCTTTTTTATGCCTTCTGGGCTGGGGAATCTTCATCAATTCTCACAGCATGACCTAGCCAACGAAGTCGCTACAGCTCAATACGTCAAACAATGTCGATGTCCGAGAATAGCTGATACAACTCATGGTTCATTCGACGACGTTATTCACCATCGACGCAGATCGGCCCGTAGATCTTTCGGAGAAGTTTTCTTTCAAACACGCCAAGAGCTGCCTCATCTGCTTGCGCAAGTACCCATGCTTCAGATCCATATAACAGCACGGGTAGTAGAAGCGGCTTGTAAAGTGTGAGATTGGTCTGGCGGGAGGTGGCCTTGTTTCTAAACTGCTTACTTAGACCATAGTAGCATCTGTTGGGCATCACAATCCTTCTCCGTATTTCAAAACTGATGTCATTCCTTTTATTTATGGCGGTATCAAGGTATATAAAATCTTTTTGTTATTTAAATTTTGCCTGGTAAGGGCAGGGATCATTTGAAAGTACTTTGACAAATGTCGAACTTTAACAAATTTGAATTTAATTCGCATATACAAGTTTAGCATCGGGGCGGAAGAAATACAAGGGCGGAAAATAAATACATAAATACAAATACGATCTTTGTAAAGCCACATTGCCCAATATGCCTGATGAGCCGCTTAACCAACGGCGAAACGCGACGCATAATTGTGGGTACGTAGTTCTTCTCCTGGGTTTCCTTTTATTAAGCTCGACTCGAAATAGTATAAATAATCACTTAAAAAAGGTATATAAAATCTTTAACTACCTCGAAGCTGTAGTTCTCAAGTTCCACAGTTGGTTCGAGTCTACTGAACGTCTTGCTCGTTGATACCATCAGCTTGGTCTTCTTGCCATTTACTGACACTGTCCCAATTTGGCAAACTCCTTCTCAATTTGTTCAAAGGTGGCTGTTACCGCACGCAATGTTCGACCCATTGTGTCGATGTCATCGGCATAGGCGAGTAACATGTGTTGTTTAGTATACATAGTGCCATTTCTGTTCAAATTTGCGTCTCGTATGACCTTTTCCAGCAGGATGTTAAAAAGATCACACGACAAACTGTCACCTAGTCTGAATCCTCGTTTGGTATTAAAGGCTTCCGAGAGGTCCTTTCCGATTTTAACTGCTGATCTTGTGCCAGTTAAAGTTATCCTGCATAGCCGTATTAATTTTGCAGGAATGCCAAACGGAGACATGGCTTTATTAATCTCTGATCGGATAGGGCTGTCGAATGCGGCTTTATAGTCGACGAATAGGTGGTATGTGTCGATGTGTTTTTCGTGGGCCTTTTCCAGGATTTGGCGCAGAGTGAAAATTTGGTCAATGGTGGATTTGCCAGGTCTGAAGCCGCATTGGTATGGTCCAATAATGTCATTGACCATTGGCTTCAGTCATTCACACAGCACGCTGGATAGCACTTTATATGCGATGGGAAGGTGACTTATTCCTCTATAGCTGGTACATATCATCTTGTCTCCTTTTTTGTGCACGGGACACAGGATGCTGAGGTTCCAATCATTGGGCATGCATTCTTCTAGCCAAATTATATTAATCAGCTGGTGCATGCGACTTACCAGCATCTGACCACCAGTCTTGAATAGTTCGGCTGGTAACCCATAGGCTCCTGCTGCTTTATTGTTCTTCAGCCGATTAATTTCTTTTATGGCCTCATCTTGGCTAGGTGGTATACACTCTATACCATCTTCTCTTATTGGTTCTGGGGTATGTTCTTCAGCGTCACTATTTGATACCAGAAGTTTTTCAAAATGCTCCTTCCAGATCCTCAGCACGCTGTTTGTATCTGTCACCAGGTTTCCTTCTCCTTCTCTACAGGAGGATGTGCCTGCACCAAAGCCTTCAGTTTGGTGTTTTACTCGTTGGTAAAATTTTCGGACTTCATTCTGACTCCTGTACATCTCGATTTGCTGACGCTCACATTTTTCTTGTTCTTTCTTCTTTTTTCTGAAAATACGTTTCTCCTCTCTCCCGATAGTTCTCCATCGCATTGCGTGTTGCTACTGTCCGCAGGGTTGCCCTATACGCTGCGTTTTCCATATCAGTTGCATTACGACACTCCTGATCGTACCACGGATTTCTTTGGTACCCAAGTGTTGCTTTTGCTGCAGTTTGTAAGAATTGGGCAATTCTTTGCCATTGAGCGTATCGGGACAAGCGGTGCTTTCGTCAAGCAGTTGGGTAAGTTGAGCGGAGTAGGCTTCTGCTATTTGTTATGTTTGCAGCTTTTCAACGTCGAGTTTCCGTGTTGTGTTACATCGTACCTTTGCTGCAACTTTAAGACGAGTGCGAACCTTGGCTGCTAAAAAGTAATGGTCCGGATTGATATTTGCTCCTCGTATCGATCGGACGTCTAAAACACTGGATGAATGCCTTCCGTCTACACAACATGATCAATTTGATTTCTCGTTGCTTGGTCAGGAGAAATCCAGGTGGCCTTGTGTATATCGAGATGCTTGAATCTGGTGCTGCTAACTACCATGTTTTTTACTGCCGCGAAGTCAATCAACCTCAAGTCGTTGTCGGGTGTTTCTTCATGGAGGCTGAATTTTCCGACGGTGGGGTCAAAGATATTTTCCCATCCGATTTTTGCATTAAAATCTCCTAGCAGAATTTTAATGTCATGGCCAGGGCAACGGTCATATGCTGTTTCTAGGCGCCCGTAAAATATGTCTTTGGTCTGTTCATCTTTATTTTCGGTCGCATCATGGGCGCAAATGAGACTGATGTAGAAGAACTTCGCTTTTATACGGATTATAGCAATTCGCTTATCTACTGGAGTAAATCTGGAGACGAGGTCTTTTATTCTCCCGTTAACCAAAAATCCGCAGCCAAATTCCTGTCTCACTTCATGACAGCTATAATACAGGGCGTAATCATCTGATTTACTTACGCCAGTCCCTTTCCATCGCATTTCCTGTATGTCAATAATATCGGCTTTGTACTTCTTGAGTACATCCGCCAAAGCGATCACTGCGCCTGTTCTGTATAACGTGCCCATATTTTCAGTGCAGATTCGCAGATCGTGGTCCTTTATGCGTTTGCGGAGGTCGTCAACATTAGGGAGGTTTGGTTTTTGGTTTTGGTTTCTTTGTTTTTCCATAGTAGATTGGGTTTTCCGAGAGTGGGCAACTAACCCGACGTCTCAATCCATTTTTTTATAGTTCGTGGCACATATTAGCACGCTATTTAATCGGATGTTGAAAATAGCTACCCCAGGTGGAACCGCTGGCAGGTCAGTGTCCACAATTGAGATGAAAGAGGGACCAAGATAAGCCTGGACTTCGCCAGGTTAAAGCCAATCTGAGCTTTTGCTTGGTATCTATCATCCCCTACGCCACCCGTATATTAACATTTCTTTTATTATCTAAAATCCATAGAGATGTGTATTTTGCCATTATGGACAACCGAACTATATCATAAGTTGTTATTGTTGTTTTTTTAATTTTAAACTAGAAAAACAAGTGCCAAAAAATAAATAAATAATAATTCCCCCCATTAAACGTCTAAAATCTAAACAAATTGAACAGCGTCATGCCAAAAAACTACGGAACAGAAATAAAAATAGATATTCATAATCGGTCAATACACAAACCGACAGACGAACAAACAGAGCGATAAAACCGAAGAAAAAAATCGAAAATATAAAAACAAATAAATTGCAAAGTAAATACATAGGCGACCCTGTCGCTTATGGCATGTCACTGGCCTGGTGTTGGGTGCTAGCGGTGGACCCCATGCAAAAGATTACTGGGTACAGGTTTTATATTGGAGTTGTTTTGTAGTGTGTGTGAGGTGTATGGGGGAGGCATTTTGTTGTTTTATACAACAACAATTTTAGTATCAATTGTTGTAGTTTTTGGCTAAGAAAACCTGATGTCAATGTTTGAACGTACATACGGTCATCTGTCTGTCTCTCTGTCTAAGCTAACTGGCAATATTTTATTTTTGGAATATTTTTTCTTCCACCTTTTTTTGCGAAAATAAAAACAACAAATGTCAATACTGACGGAAGAAGTAAAGAGATCGACATTTAAAAAAATATATTTTTTTTATTTTATGTTGTTGCTCTGATAAGCTGCAGCAGACATCAGTCCACCACCAAAGTGTATCTTGTATTGACCTTGCCGGGCGAGCATGTGCCTCGCCACTCTGCTTGAGGATTTTCGACAATTTATTTTTTTGGTTCGAAATTGCAATTTGTTGTTGTCCCGCGTCGTTTTAGTTTGATAAATGGTCATATTGAAATTTGAATAGAGCTCAGCAAAAGCAGTATTGAATCTCTCCCGCAAAAAAATATAATACCATAAGAAGCTTATTGCTTGATGGGAGCTTTTTTTTCATAGTAATTCATATTGCAAATAAATCGTGATTTGAAGGCAATGACTGGCTTATAAGAGTATTAGAAGGAAGTCTCGAGTTCGGGGCAGAACACTTCAAAATCGCGAATGCTTGAAATGGACATATTTTTTAAAAGT